TCTTGCAAGTCCAGTCAAAACAATTTAAACAGCGTTCTGTCTTTTCTTCCTCTTGAACTAAATATCCAGTTTTAGATTACTTGCAAAAATTTTCCTGTATCTGCTGTAAAAGAAATTTAAAGAAACCACTCTTTTGTTACCTCTCATAATACTCATATCTTTTAAAAATGATGCTTAACGAAGAACTAGTTAAACCGCACTCCACCTTCCTCACCTAAATTAGAAGTGCATCGCTCAAGAAATAAAAATTGCAACTGCATCGCAATGAAGACTTGCATTTACCACCTAAAGTACAGTTCAGGCTTATAGTTTTTTCAGTTATTAACGCTATTTGTGCCATAAATTTCGACGCTGCTGAGATAAAAAATAAAAGGCATTAGCTTTCGACGGTGCATGGACAACTGTCTTTTGATAAAAGTGTGAGAAATGCTATGCAAAACGAATGTGAGCAAAAATTTTCTTTCTAGAAACGTGAACATATCTCATACAATATAAATGTCCCTTACGCAAATGACTAAATTTTTGAAATCTTCATTCCATTAATAACGAAATAAAATGTTTAAAACTTATCCCAGGTGCCTCTTTCAACGTGGTAAAACAATACTGAAAACAATAAATAACAAAAATGATTTTAGCATGCCAACCTTGCGTACGAATGGCAGCTGCGTAAGCGTACAAGTTATGCTTGACTTCCTCAGAAATAGTTTTCGGAAGAGCGACATACTTGCAAAGATTCAATCCCGAACAAAGTGTCCGCAAACCAAGTAGAAGACTCAACGAAGCAAATTCAGTCGTTAATGGCTTCGAATACTCTAACAAACGACGTTTCAGCGCTAAATTACTCTGAAAGAAAGCTGTTGTCTTTTAATTTTAAATAATATATAAAGCAAAAAAACAAAACTAACCAATATTAGTCTGTCACTTTTTCTCTTTAGCTCTTCATGCGAAGACAAGTCGATGGATATTGTTCCCACAATTTTCGTCAATGGAAGAGATGATACGACAATAATAAAGAGCAATGAAAGAAAATAATCCTGAATCTGTTCGGTATCAAAACCCATGTCTTCGACATAACCCATTAGAAAAAGTGACTCACTCAGCACAGAATAAAGAACGCTTTGTAAAGAAACGGAACGCTCCTTCCAAACCCGGCTACACTGTTCCCATTCTGCACACAAGAATTCGTTGCCGATCAAGATCTCTACACCAAACTAAATTCAAGCAGTAGTGTCGACTCTCGCTCTTCTGTGTAAAATTTTCAGAAGCGCACAAAAATAGAAACATGTTCTGTAAACTGTCATTCCACAATCATCGCAGGCAGAGTGACTCACAAAAATAATGCTGCTCAACCTTTCAGTAATCCGTTAAAGATGAGGAAAAAAGTCAGAAACAAGCGACTGATCCAAAAAAATTGGAAGAGCAAACTCCAAATAAAATTCATTAAAATTACTCCCATACTGTTTTCTAAATAAAATCCTACCATAAAGACAGGACGAGTCCCCCCTTCAAATTTCTACTTTGTAACTCAAAAAACGATAACTATAAGCCAAAATAATATTAATATATATGCACAGAGAAATTAAGATTGTTTTCTTCAAAAGTACATCAATTTATGACCATTAGTAGTAGGTTAAACTGGTTAGAAAGTCGAAGTTAAGAAAGGATAGCTGCTTTTCCTATACAGCATAACTACTTCCCCAACCTTCCAAAAAAAAAAAATGTTGAGCTGTCTTTCTTTTTCAAAAAAGAGTTCACCAGAAAAAAACGATGCATTCAAGGTTTCTTTGTCGAACAAAAAAAGAAACAAATTTTACTGTACTGACTGGACTCGTAAACTATACTAGAAAATCATACCAAAGAATCCAAACTATAAAGATGTTCATGAAAATCTTCAAGGCGAGCCACTGAGAGAGAGAATGAATCCCGATCTAATCTTCGCGATAGCGAGAGAAGCATTGGAACACTGTAAAAAAGCAGGAAAACGCTAATCCATTTCTGTCGGCACGGTCAGAGACTTAAAAATAAAGATATAAAAAACTTTGTCCATGAGTTTGAAAAGGCCTTAAAAATCACGGCTTCACTACTACAAATTACTTCCAACTCCCATCTAAACTCCGCAAAAATTAATTTCTTGCTAGTTGAATGCGAACTGTATATAGTCAAGAAACACAAGGTTTCAGAAAAGAAAAAAGAAATAAGGCTGTTTAAACTCTACCTCTTCAAAGGAGTCCCTTCCCGCAGACGACGGTTAACAAAACTGTTGACTGAAGCCTCGCCACAGCCTAATTCTGAGAGCTTCTTCAAAGATTCTTCAATGACATCTTCAAAAGCTTTATTTACTAAAGATCCGCCGACAACAACTACAATTAATTAACAGAATAAGAATACTGCTCATAAAACCATTAAGAAAGTGAAAGTTACCCTCGGGAACGTGATTAGCTATAAGAAGCTCCAGTACCAGTTCAGAAACTTTAGAAAGGATTTTCAAAAAACCCTAAAATTAAGAAATTCTAAGCCGATGTTTGATTTCAAAAGAAAAAAAGCAAGATACATTAACAGAAAAACATTAACCTTTCCTTTCACTTTTTCGGCCAACTGAAGAAGAAGGTCCAGGCTTTCAATATGATTCTCTTCGAAAAACTGAAACAGCAAAAGTCCTAAGAACGCCTTTTGAAAAGCAAAATACTCCTTGCCCTACCTCAGTCATAACAGAACATAATTTTTGAATTGAAATTATTCAGTGTTCCCGCTTTTGTTTAGACTGCTGATAAGTCTGGTAGCAGTTTTTAACAGTAAGAGTAAAAAATAAGCTGAACAATGATCTAGCGATACACCTGCGAAATCAGTGTTTCCGAGGAAGGAAAATCCAAAGCAAAATCAAAAATTCCAAGAAACAGTTTAGTTTGATCAGGATGGACTGAACGCAATGCTTCTTTAACAGCTCGTTCCCATACAGCTGGATAACCGGTTGTTAACAAAGCTAGATCATTTAAGTGTAATGCAGCTTTTACTAAACGCAGACAAGCAGTTGGAGAATCTACCTTAAATTAAACAAAGCATTAAACAGTAAAGCAGAACAAGATCAATGTATTGCGTCCCAAATAGTTCTACAAGATCAAGCCGAACAAAATTTATTTTTTACTAAAAAGTATCAACTCACTTTGTAATAATCTTGAAAATCCAAACCGCACAACTCATTATAAGAAAATTTAATCTGATACACCCTCATCAATGAGGCTAGAAGTTTCACAGAGTTATTTTCGTCGTCCCAGTTGAGCCTCTCAACAATTCTACGCATTAGAGGTACCTCAGCATCGACTTCATGCAGAAGATCCCGATCAAAAGTCTCAACGATCTTTATAACTAACTCCGATGTACAATATTTATGTCTTAAGACCATCTTTGTAAGCTGTAACCACAGCTTAACATCCACCTTCTTTAAAATATTAATAACTGCTGATTCCGCCTGTGGCAACTGCAAATAGTTCAGCAATATGAACTTGGTAAAACTATGAGCACTATAAGTACCTGAACAATTCTCTTCAAAAACTATTGAAGTTTCGTTTAAAAAGAAAATTTACCTTTTCAATCAAAACCAGTATTAATCTACGTAACCACAAAAGCACATCCGCGTTTGAAGAGACCTGATCAATAGTAATTACAAGAAATAATGACGATAATCTGTTCACTATCTGGTAATTCTTATCGCTCGCGAACTGCTCTGTGAGGTGCAAAATCTAAAATGCAAGAAATCTGTGGCAATCCTAATTTAACAAAGCTCAAAAATCGTAGAAATTTTCGAACAAATTTACGCGAATAAAAATTTAGTACCTTCTCTAAAGCCTTTTCCACCATCTCCACTTTTGCTGTAGAGCCCTGTTCAGTGAAGTAGTCAGAAAAAGTATATTTCAGCAACTCCTGTAAGCACAATGCCCATGTCTCAACAGCAAAAGAAGTGTCCCAAGGCAAACTAAAAAAACTGAATCAAATAAGATAAGAAATATTCATAAATAAAGCATGATACAGACAGAATACCAAAAGTAACAAAAATGACGAAAACTCAGTACCCCTCGAAGAATGCCTCAAAAACCCGACTCATTAAGGCATTCCGATCAAGAGGTGCAGTTCTAGCAAAAACCATTTTGATAAGAGCTGTAAAACGCTTGGCACCTAAGCTTTCCCAGAACCTGCAATTCAAAGTAGACAACTTTAAAAAATACACTAAAATGTCAAGGCGAGAAAATCGATGTAAAAGCATGTTTTAAAAAGATATTAAATGCGAATTAAACTAACGGTTCTTTTCGCCTGACAAGAGAAATGACTTTTGGAATAAGTGCCTTCTGTAAGCTAAGCTCCCCAAAGGCTTCCTCCTTAGAAGATAACAATAAAACATCCGCAGCACTTTGACAGATGAAACGATTACTACTGTCCAGATAAGATAAAGATAAAAGCATTAAATTCTTGTTTACAACGTCTTGCCAATCAAGCTCTAAAAGGCGTCTCACTAGGGCGAAAAATGCCCCAGTTACCTGGAATGCCATTAAGTTGCTGAAGTAATTTTTAAAACAATTTTTTTAAAGAGGAAGTTAATAAATGAAACGAGAAAGTTTAATACTAGCCAAAACTAATTCAGAATCACTTTGGCCCTAGTAGACAAAAGTTACTTGAGGTGACTGTGCAACAGAGCGATCAATAACTGTTTTTTTCTGAATAACCTGAAGTACTCTAGAATCACTACTGGGTAAACTCTCCGCTAGACTCCTAAGAAATGTCAAACCCTGAGCAGTGATTCGAGATGCCCGTTGCACATCAGTTTCTGTTCCTTCACTCCTGAAATAAAGTCAAAAAATTAGCTCACAAAAAAAAAATTAAAACAGGTTCTAAAGCATTTTTTGTAGTTTTTAAAAATGCTCTACACTTAACTAACACAAATGGAATAATCCATTTCTGTCAGCATGCACGTCACTTTCCTAAAAAAACCAACCTGTCAAGGAGAGGATGACATGAGAATACGATCTGCATAGCAAGTTCTAGCGAAGGATTAATACTGATTTCAAAGGCCTTACTCTTTGAGGGGAAAGTATCTAACAATGCAACTGCGTTTTCTGACACCAATGCATACGTATCATTCAGAGCAAAATAAACATAAGGCAATATCTGAAAATGAATGATTAAAATTAAAAGAAATGTTACTGGCTACTATTCAAATATAAAAGAAAACGACAAAAATTTTCAGTATTACAAATATCTTTTCGTAAAGAAAAGATTACATCTTTCAAGTACTTTTCGCAAGCCTTCTTTAAAACCTGTATATACACTTTTAAAACTCGAAGACTCAGGGCCCGGATAGATGGAATACCATCCTAAAATTAAATCCTGTCTGAGATGAATGAGGTAAATCGAGAACAGAAATAGTTACGGAATGACAGTCATAAACAGCCAAGAAAGCTTTACCATAATAAGCTTCGGGAATATAGAGACGAAGTGGGGAAAACTTGTATTAGTTTTATCAAACGTAACATTTTCAAGTTCTACTGTGAGTTCCTTTAGTCCCTTAAAAAAGAGTCATCACAAGAAAAAGAATTCGCACTGCAGTAAAGTTATGTAATTCAACAGTTCTTCTTGATCAGATTTTTTTTAAAGACAGCCGATAAAGCATTTAAAAAATAAAAAGTTAATACATTATTTGAAAAACTGGTATCTGTGAAAAAACTATTAAAAAGAACAAGAAATTTGTCTAAAAGGCGTTTAACGGGAGCAAAAAAAGGCCATAGAAACAAACTTTTGATAAACTTTTAAAAACAATGAATCAGACTGGTTCAGATTGTAAGAAGTAAAAAAACTCACTCAAAAATTGCGAAGCTTAAAGGTATTGTCATTTTTAATGCTATAAGTGGTCTAAACTGAGTCCCTGTGAAGGCTCAATTGAATAAACAAACGAACAGAAAGAAAAAAGGCTGAATAATGAGAACAACGTGGAAAGCTATAATTTCAGTGAAGAAACGTGGTAGAAGAAGTCTTTTTACATACTAAACCTTCGCATATGAGAACTACTCGTAGTTTTGAAACGTCCTTATTCTACAGTAAAATTAAGCATTTTGTCAATAATTTCAGATGATCAGTATCTGTAAAGTTCATTATTCTGACAATTCTAAAAGTTCTTTGTTTAAGTACAAGAAACTTTTTCTCCAATTTGAACAAAATGCCCAATTAAATTACCTTCTCGCGAGTTAAAAAATCTTTTTTGCGCAGTTTTTCCAAAGCGTTTCTGATACCTGGATCAATTTCCCCCTGAGTAGTCTCAAATGAAGTTGTAGCATTCGACAATGAAGTATAGCCAGAAAAGGTTATAAATGGTACTGCATAACCACTGTGTGCCAGCAACTGTGCAGCATCAGAACTACTGGCTGTCTGAAAAACAATAAAATTGAAAACAAAATTAAAAGCCCAAAAAAAAAAGATGACGAAGTTGCTCTTTACTAGTCTCTGCCTCCTTACAACGGTGTTCTTTTATTAAGTGCCCACTATCATTATCAAATTATTGGAATGATTTCCAATATAATCTTATACGATAAACTATGTGCACTTCCGTTCATTAAGTTTTGATTTCAGTTCATTTATGCGCAAAAACCTATACTGATCTTGGCAGATTGAACTGCCATAAAAATTATTAAAAATCATGGCTTAATTTTCTTAATAATAAATTAAAAAACCTGCCTTTGCATTTCCTCTACGTCGCGGAGACTTACCCATAGTGCAAAACACAGTAACAACCTGAAAGTAACGAATATTGAAAAACACCACAATTTTAAATCAGCGTCTTATACGCCGCACAATATTTTTTCAGCAAATACTAATGCACAACTTCTCTTTACCAACCAATATACCTCTCCAAAAATACAGTGGTACTTGCCACATTAAAGCTAATCCTTATTTTCTCCTCTAAAGTTTAAAGAACAACACAATCACAAAAATAATTTCGGCAGAAGAGGCAAAACATTTCTTTAAGTTTACAGATATTACAAATGGTGAAATCTCAGTCTGAGCAAAGTTAGAATATAATCATTTCTCGAAAATATGCTGTTCCCTGCAACTGGGTCTTTCAAACAAATTCCACTGTTTTCTAAAATGCGCTGGCTGCCCATCATTAGTTACTCCCAAAGTGAAAATGCTTTAGGTTTCATTTATAACCTCTTTCAAATCCGAACGAACGAATTACCAACGCAAAGACACTAACTCTCCTGATCAGACTTCAAAAAGTTACTTGTATAGATAAAACGCTTAATAGCAAATCTTTAGTTGTTCTTCGAACGCTCAGCTTAATCTAATCCCAGCTTTACCTTCTCTTGTGTTTTCATAAAGTAGGGCCCTAAAAACGACTGAGAAAACTTTTCTCCTTTTCCCTTTTACAATCGCGATTTTTGACATCGATTTATCAGCGGGATCTGAATTGTTACCAACGAAAAATATTTTTTCAATGATCCATCAATTCCAACAATAGGTGATTTCACGACGGTTTTCTGCAGCTTGACAGTACCTCCATTTTAAGTAGTACTGCGCGGCTACACTCTTGATTTAGTAAATGAAAACGACATCCACAAGAAAAACTGCTTTTCTGTAATCCTAATCAGTTGGTTCTCTAATCGGTAAATCGTCCCCTCCACTTCAGCTTCCTTAACTAATGCCAACGGAGTTCAATTCACAAAAGCTTATTTATAGCAAAGTTAATTTTTAATGAATGCGGACATTGGAGACTGCGTCGACAGTGACCACATCGAATTAGCGACTGCCTTAGAAATAATCCTCACTCCGTTGACTCGTTTTTGTGTGTAACGACAGTTAACGTCTTCAAAAAAAGACCAATGAAACTGCGAAGAATATCAAGGAATTGAGCCTAAACATATAACCTTCTAGACTATCAGGTGCTTTAGAAGATGTATAAGTTACTGATTTTGGACACCAGTCACCAAATTTTGGCCCATACCATTGGTAATCTGCCAATCTGCGGTAAACATATTTGCAAGATGTAGCGCTATAATATAATTTAGAGAAGTATCAGAACAGATTGTGATACATCGTCCACCTCTGCGCCTGCCCTTTTGCGTATGCTGATAGTATTATTGATTTTGGGAAGGAGAGGTGAGGTGACGAGTTGACTCTTAGATTGCTTTTGTATCACGCCTCCAGCAAGTTTTTTTAAAGTGAATCCGTGACGGATGCGAGAGGAAGCGGGCTCGTTGAGAAAGAAAAAGCAGAGGAAGCCGTAAAAATTAAATGCTTATTTCAGAGAAGAAGAACTATTGTTGCTGGAAAGATAAGAGGGTTATGAAAGGCAATTCTCTGTATTTCACACCTCTGTAGTTCATTTAAACTTCTAAATGATGTAACCAGAAAGTCGAATCAATAGTTTATTGTAAAACTTGTATACATAGTTCAGTTATGATCGTTAGGTTCGCATAACTAGTATGAATTTAGAATATACAATAACCGGAACAATATAAATCAGAAGTTTATACGGCAGAATTCTTTGAACATTTGTGACGG